TTCAAACTTACCAAAAAGCAGTGGCGTACCATATTTTTTTCTATTTTTATCAAGCTGGTATCTTGTTGTGACGCCACTGGAGAAAATAGGACAAATTAAATTATGTGAGAAAATGAGTATTATTATTACAAACAAAGTTGCCAAGTTTCAACAAAGTCTAAAAAGGGGTTTTCGTTTTACGAATAAAAAATCAATTCTCATTTTAAACTTGAACACTCTGTAAATCGAAAACGACGCATCTATACATATATGTTTACATGAACTTTTTTTTTAAAGGACTTTTAGTACAAGTTGTGAAAGTCCTGCTACAAAAAACGCGGACACCCTGTATACCCACAGAAGAGATGGAACTTTCAAAGTAAAATTAAACACGTGGACTACTTATAATGGGTACAAACACAGGGTAATTAATAATTAAAAAAATAATTTGCCTTGTAAAATATTTACAAATGTTACCATGCCTCAAGGCGATACGTAGCAGCTAACGAAATAAATTATATAACCAGAAAAGGCGACTCCAATGGGTTTCCGGATATATAAAATAGAAGTTACTGTTACTTAATTCAATGGCAATGACATTCTATTGCTTTCGCATTGAATACTTAGTGATAGACTAGCGTTACAGCTACAGCGTCGGCGTCGTGGTTCCACGCGAAAAATTACCGATTTATTATTTTCGTTATTGTTTAGGCTTTAAATTTTTCAGTACAAAACCAATTAGTCACCATCGATAAAAACATGTAGCATTGCATTTATATACAAAATTTTGTAAATGTCTAAACGCGAATCACAATACAGGGTGTTGAGGTTTAAAATAAAACATCACGTTTACTTAGATATCTTATGCTGTTGGGAAACAAGGAATTTCACATGATTTAAGTTTTTTTATGACATCGCAGTCCTTAGGGTAGTAAACTTACTAAGATGGAATTTTAAGTCAAATACTTATTTGCTATAAAAATCCCATTTGCGGTTTCCTATTTGCTCTTTTCGTTTTCATGTAATTTTATCTGGGTAATGTAATTAGGGTTTCTGATTTCTCGGCCTATTTTTTTCTCGGGTCTCGAGAATTCTCGACTAGGAATTCCCGGGAATTCTCGAATTCTCGAGAAATTTCTAAAACTTAAAAAAGTCATAATTTTGGTATTGCAATGCGACATATAAACATGCTATTATAATTAACAATCATCATCATTCAGTATTTTTATTAATTACTTGTTTCCACTTCTACTAACAAAACTAAATTAAACTGAGTTTAACTTGTTTTTTTATTAAACACTTTCAATATACTTATGTTTATTTCAATGTTTTTGAATCGTAGTTTTCTTCTAATAATAATTATTAATAATCATTAATCATGCAGTCTTTTAATTATATAAATAGTAAATAAGGAATTTAACCGAAGAAATCTTAAAAAAAACAAGCTTTAATTTAAAGATACAGAAGCGTTCTTCCTATTAATTTATCACTTCAACATTAGGTATCTGTTTATAATAAAATTTCTACACAGACTTATAACTAGGTACAGGGTGATTCACTATATTTTGACCCCCCTTTAACTTTTTTGTTTTGAGAGTTATAAAAAAAATGTGAAATACAAAAGTTGCACAATTTTTTATGAAATTTTCGAATATGATAGTAGAAAAACAAATGAAGTTCAAACAAAATGGTCGCGGATGTTAACTTTGTTAATTTAAATGAAACACCCTGTATATTTTTACACATTTGGATAGAACGTTTCCTGTCGAGCACAGTTATATACGGTTTGTTGGGTCCATCACTAACAATAAGCGAGATAATATTAAAAAACGAAAAGAACGTTTTTTATTAAGAAAATAAAATATTTTGTAATTGTTGGACGTTTTTCGGGCATTTCTGCCTTTTTCCAATTACGTAAGGATTTAGATTTATTTGCAATATGTTTTGAAATATCGAACATTGATATAGTCCAAAATGGGTAGAAAATTTAAATATTATAGGAATTAAGATAGAGTAGTTAAGATATCCTCCATAGTTTATTTTAATTCCTAATAATATTTCAATTTTCTACTTCTGTGTAACCCATTTTAATTAAATACTAATACAAACTGTCAAACAATAACAATGTTATCATGACATTACTACCTGTCACTGTCACGACCTACCATATATAAGATTGTCCATGAGTAATTGGCCTCACACGGTCTAATTAGTGAGATTTACTTAAAATACCTATACGCATTTTGGACTATATCAATGTCCGATATGTCAAAATATATTACAACTAAATCTAAATCCTTACGTAATTGGAAAAAAGGCAGAAATGCCTGAAAGAGGTCTAACAATTACAAGATGTCTTATTTTCTTAATAAAAAAACATCATTTCGTTTTTTAATATTATCTCGCCTATTATTAGAGATGGACCCAACAAACCCTATATGACTATGCTCGACAAGGAACGTTCTATCCAAATATGTAAAAATATACAGGGTGTTCCATTTAAATTAACAAAGTTAACATCCGCGGCCATTTTGTTTGAACTTCATTTGTTTTTCTACTATCATTTTCGAAAACTTCATAAAAAATCGTGCAACTTTTGTATTTCACATTTTTTTATAACTCTTAAAACAAAAAAGTTAAAGGGGGGTCAAAATATAGTGAATCACCCTGTACATTAAAAAAAAAGAATCATCAAAGTAAACTAAAGCCTTAAAAACTTAAAATAAATAAATCATGAGCTGGTAGAGAAACCACTTTAACCGCTCAGTTATTTGTCGAGAAACGAATTGAACGCATGAACGAAACGAACTCCAGTCAAGAACTTAAGACGCGCGTGATTTTTAAATTTCTCGATTTCTCGATTTCTCGACACTTTTTTCTCGTCTCGAGTAAGGCCAGATTTCCCGGGAATTCTCGCTTCGAGAAGTCTCGACCAGAAACCCTAAATGTAATGTGTCATAAGCTTATTAATATTTAAATATATATATATATATATGTCTTGAAAATTACTGGTTTTTCGAAGAAGGTGACGTCATTAACAAAAGTTTCATCAATTTAAGTACTTATATTCTAAGCTATTTAAATTTATCTCTAATAGTAAGCGAGATATGGCAAAACGAATATGCTGTATTAGAAAAAAATCATCAGACTCTTTTTTTTTTTTACAAAATTGGGGTCACTCTAACTTACTACTTTATCATATTTTCATTGATTACCTTCAACACAGGTCCTTGATATTTATATGTGTGATTCTTCCATAGCTCTATAGTCTATAGTATCATTAATACAAAAAAGTGTTCGAAATAACAAGGGATACCAAATAAATTTCTTCAAGTTTTAAAATTATTTTGAATTGGTTGTGCCTTGTCTTCGGTATAGGTTTTTTTACGTTTCGAGAGACTTATCCCTTGCTTCTTCAGAAGAAACTCTAAAATTAGAGATTAAGCTTGGGACTGGTATTTGTGTTTGCTGCATGCAGTGGTCCATAGTGTTGTAGTGTATATTAGAAGTTCAAAGTTTCCTATCAAGGATATTTCGATTTTTTTTAATTTGATACACGATATAGACACACGAAAAAATTGATTTCCTTTTAATTTTATTAAGGTCCGTTTGGAAAAATATTGAATATATCTTTTATAACGAGTATATTTTAGATGATCTACAAATAATGAAAAATCTTTAATAAACGGTTTTATAGGTATGTTTAATAAACACGACTTAGCTTAACGTATGTTCTTGGAATGTTGACCATCGCGTAAAATTTGTACAAGATTGAGGTCACGCTAACGTGTATGTAGATAGATGGCATTTAATTCTTCAGCTTTCGCAGACAAATTCACAACTCAGGTCTTTGACATTTGAATGTGTTTGTGTGACGGTATTAGAATTTAATGTGTCCTTATTATATATATCGACAGAAAAGTCACAAACAACTAAATGTTGTATATCTAATAGGTCAAATTAATAAATTAAGGAGATGAGATGATGAATTATAATATCTAATGATCCACATTTGCCCATTTTAAAAGGGTTTTCTCTGATTATATGTCATAGATTCAGTAGGCCGACGAACTCTAAGTATTTTGACATTTAATTTTTCATAAAATTTAATGAATATGCTAACGAGATAACACATATTTCTCGAAATTTCAATATTTATAAACAAACCGAAAAAAACTCTTTTTATTCACTATTGGCGAGTTCACCAAATCCCGATATACAAAATAATTTTCTTTGCTGATTGTAATCTTTCTAATAGTAATATTCTTTGTTTATTATAATCTACTGGTGTGTATGAAACAGATCGCAGAAAATAGAATTCGATTATTAATTCATCATTTGTTTGACTACGCCTTGACCTTCAGATACGATCAGATAATAGATACACCTAAAATTAAATCTGATTTAAGAAATAGTCTATAAAAATATTTATGTATGGAAATTAATAACTTGATGATTTTATTAAACAGTTTCTCTATGGCACACGCGTAAATAAATATACCTACCTACACTCTACTCCATTGAAAAAGCACAGCATATGTAAACCAGTACATCATGTGGGCCATATAAAAAAATATATTTTTACCTTTACAGGGTGGGCGACCTTACTACGGCCCTGAGCGACCCTTCTCCTTCCAAGGTCGCCTAAAACAACTGAATGAGATCAAAGTTCCGACAGCGAACTGAAATTGCTGGTTTACATGTATTACACACTGACTGTTTACTGTCAATATTTTAAACAATTGTAAATCAAAATAAAAAACAATTATCAGTTTAAAAACACTCGTATGACTAATCACAGTTAAAGGACGATGTTGTAATTTACTGTTTCTTTTTAATGTAATTAAGTTAAGTATATCACGATCACGATTAAACATATACTTTTTTTTAGAAATGTACGACAACTACGCTGTTTACGTCCAGGATGTGGTCAAGAATTATGGAAGCAAAGAAGTATTGAAAAAATTGTGCATGAAAGTAGACAGGGGATCGATGTAAGTATTTTTCATGATTACATTCATTTTGTGATGCATGGTATGGGATAGGTTATAACCGAAAATTGCTGTAGGTGTGGAGAATATTTCAAGCGCTTCAGATTTATAAGGAGTGTACTGAATAACAATAAAGGGTATCCCAAAGTTCATGCTAGGAATAATTTTAGTAGAAAACACAGGTTTTAAATTAAAATTGTAAAAATTTGGACGAGGGCTTGTTGGCATAAACCTTAGCCTTCAAAAAACTTCAAAGAAAAAAGTCCAAAAGTAAACATTAGAAATATCTGAACGATGTGTTACCTGTTTCAACGGTATGTAACATTAAAAAAGTGAGCTACTACGGAAATGAAAATATTTTATCCACGACTATTGTATAATGTACCCATTATACGTCTGTTTGCTCGACCTTAATAATACCCATTAATCACGGCAGTGATTAATGAGTCATTAATCACTACTGTCAGATGCTTCCTTAATTTAGCTATAATATTATATTGTTCTGCTACAAACAATCCGTTTTTAAAATTTTATCGTGTAAACCACTAAATATTTTCAATTCAGTGCTGTACATATAAAAAAAAAATTAAAAAAGTGAATTTTCCTAGACCGGATTTGAACCCGTGACCCGCGGTTGGAAGGGAAAGAGCATCTACACTGAGCCATCAGCGACTTCATTTGTGCGAGTCGTATATCTGTTTCTTAACATACCATGTTTTTCGAAACATTTCAAAAAAAACTTCAACAAAAATATTTAGTAGTCGTGGATAAAGTATAGTATTCTACTCCCGTATAATGGGTATTATTCACTCGGTGATTTAGGCCACTCGCCTGCGGCTCGTGGCCGTAAACTTCACCTCGTGAATAATACCCATCATTATACGCTCGTTGAATAATATACTATTATACACACAACAATGTGTTCTTTATGGTTTTATAAGTAGCATATATTGTTTTAATGGCGATTTTACAGTCTATTAGAGGTTAAAATTTAAACATTTCACATAAAAGACTCAATTTAATATACATAAACGATAATAAAAATAAATGCACTTACAAAATAGAATGAAATAAAAACTATAGATAAATTATGCCGATAAGGAGTAGCAACTTTGTAGGTGATTTATGGGTTGATATTCAGTGACAAATTAGCCATTAGCGACTAATTTTTTTTAGCCATTAGTAAACAACATTAAACAATTACCTCTATTTATTATAGTATCATATGAAAATGAGAAGTTGTATTGGGAAATTGGATTCCCCTACTAAACACAAGGGGGCTCATTTCCCCTACAACTGTACCTAATCGTAGCATAAGCAATTAGTCCATTGAAAAGTTACATTTGGGGTTGCAAAAGTCAGAGCACGCAATTTTATTTTTTGGAAATCAAGAAGGGGTTAGTGTAAAGTTAAATTCATGTTTGTGGGGTCGCAACCCTTGTGCATCGGCCGCCATCTTGTAAAAAGGGCTGTGAATAGTTTTTATATTACTACTTACTATATCGGGCAAACTATTCGTCGTACAGAAAATTTGTAAATACATTTTTTGTTGCAAATTAAATTTGGTTCCGTAACTTTTAGTCGTAGAACTAAAAATAACAAAGTTATTAACGAAAATAGTTAAAAATTTGGGAACAAATTTTCTTTTGGTCGTTATAACTTTTTTTCTGGTCATTTTACAAAAAAATTACATCAGAGCATTTTGATAGAGGGGTTTTCAAGGAATAATTTCTATTACAAACTTTTTTCAAATTTTATTTATTTATTAGGGTTTTACAGCGATGCGAAACTTGCACTATTCTCCAGTACTAGAAAGTATACATCACAGAACACGTATACATTAATATGAATGATTAGGCATAGGAGGTGTTCTTCAAATTTGTCTTTCAGTTGTGCTACCACGTGCGTGCGTGACGTATTTAATTGTGAAAAGTATTTTGAGTTTTGTGGACACTATTTTGAATTTTGTGGACAAGAGGTGGGTTTCAGTGTCGACCAAGCAAAATCAGATGCAGATACCCTCATGGTTCGCTCCGCTCTTGCTGCATCCCAATCGTTCGACTCAGTCACTATTATCGCCGAAGATATCGACATTTTTGTCTTGCTCACAGCATTTGGAAGAACACATTCAAATGTATTTTTTTTAACCATCAAAAGGACGTAAAGCCGAACAGTTATATTGTCCGTCAAGTTTTATGTACGGAGACGTCATTGTGGATAATCTGTTGTTTCTCCATGCCTTCTCAGGATGTGACACGACTTCAGTAGCTTACAACATCGGTAAAATGAAATTTCTCACAACCCTGGAGACACGTCCTGAGTTAGCTAGTGTCGACCCTACTTTGCTCACTGCCGTTGGCGAACGTTTTTCAATTTTCATCTCTTTATATGGTGGCAATAAAGATGATTCTCTTGACAGTCTTGGATATAAACGATTCTCCAAGTCAGTGACAAAGAATACATTTAATTTGTCTTAACTTCCTCCAACACAAGACACAGCCCGCTTGTACAGGGTGGTTGATTTTCGATAGTTTTATAGGGTACAGCCAAAACGGTGATAGATACAGAAAATCTGATATCGATGTCCCGTCCTCTTTTTTTGAGTTTACTTCGCTGGTCCCAAAAGATCTTGGCTAACTTGATTAGTTTTAGATATACAGGGTTTTTTTGAAAAATGGCCCATTTACATTAACCTCTCTATCTCCGTTGTCATTCAATTTACAAGAAAAAAGTGTGCACATTATTTGTTCCATTTTTTATTAGGAAGCCATTGGCGTACTCAGATTTTTTACAAATCGCACAGTTTCTCCGATATTGCATAAACATAGGTTTTTTTAAATAGAACACCCTGTATTTGGCCATCCCGTTGAATAGCATTTTTTTTTACCTTTTCAGCTATATATAATAATAGATACTTTTTATTTGCCTAAATGAAGAAAAATGCAAAAATGTATAGATATAGATATTTTTTCAGTTGGCCATGTTATTTATTGTTATATTTAGTATTGGTCTCTTCGTTTTCTATTATTATTTTTATGTTAAGCACCTAACTTAGACTAAAAGATTAAAAAAAAAATAAATTAGATTATCCATTTATCTTTACTTAATAGGTTTAATTATAGGTACACTTATAACTATTATCTAAACATAAACTAAACAAAAATAACAACTATAAAATGAGAGAAACAACAATAAAACAAAAATGACATAACAAAGTCACAGCAAGTGCTCGAATTGTCGGCCATTTTCGTTGATACATAACTGACAACGTTTGGCAATGGAACGGGTCGCATTGTAAATGTGAATATTTGACACCCGCTGAATATAGTTTTCAAAATGTTCCCTTAGCTCCTCGACATTATTAGCTCTATACTTATAAATTTTGTCTTTAACATCCCCCCAAAAATAAAAGTCTATAGGGGTTAGGTCTGGTGACCTAGGCGGCCACCTGTTTGGTCCGTACGTACCGATCCAATTGTCCCCGAAATTATGATTTAATAATTCTCTAACTATGTGGGAATTATGTGGAGGCGCACCATCATGCTGAAAGAACATATTATATCGTTGAGCTAGTGACATATCGTCCAGCAGTTCAATAATATTTTCTTGTAAAATTCTCACATATCTCTGAGCGTTAAGGTTTTCATCGTACATTTCGTAAGCTAACACTCTATTGTGGAAGAGAGCTACCCATACATGAAAACCAAATCGCCCTTGTTGAATTCTGGCCACAGTTTGGTGAGGATTAACATCTGACCAATAACGCGCATTATGCCGGTTGAATATACCTTCGCTGCTTATAAAAGCCTCGTCGGTCCAAATAACATTTTGAAAAAAATTGGGGTATACATGAGTTTGCTGCAAAAACCATTGGCAGAAAATGATGCGTCTCTCTTCATCTCCTGGATGCAAATGGTGGACTTTTCTTATAGTATATGGTCGAAACTTGTGTTTTTTTAAAATTCTCAATGCTTTGAATTTACCAATTCCTATCGTTCTTTGAATTTCTCTGCTGGATACGTTGGGATTTGCGACAACAAAAGCTAAAGTATTGATTTCATCATCTTCTCTATTCTGTATATTATAAGATTTAGCTCTCGGTTTTTGAAAAGAACCAAACTCACACAAATTATCATAGAGTCGGCTAAAAATTCTCTTTTCTGGCTGATGACGCTCTGGGTATCTCTCCAAATATAAGTTTAAAGCTGTGTCACTATTTTTTTCACTTTCAATGTAACACTCTAACATTTGAACTTTGTGAAGATTTTCGTACACCATTTTTATACTTTTCAAAATTAAAACCAAGTAATAGACGTTTAACAAGCTTTCAATCAGTCAAAAATAAACTAACTGTCAATATTAAACAACAAAAGACGAATAAATAAATAACATGGCCAACTGAAAAAATATCTATATCTACATTTTTGCATTTTTCTTCATTTAGGCAAATAAAAAGTATCTATTATTATATATGGCTGAAAAGGTAAAAAAAAATGCTACTCAACGGGATGGCCAAATACAGGGTGTTCTATTTAAAAAAACCTATGTTTATGCAATATCGGAGAAACTGTGCGATTTGTAAAAAATCTGAGTACGCCAATGGCTTCCTAATAAAAAATAGAACAAATAATGTGCACACTTTTTTCTTCTAAATTGAATGACAACGGAGATAGAGAGGTTAATGTAAATGGGCCATTTTTCAAAAAAACCCTGTATATCTAAAACTAATCAAGTTAGCCAAGATCTTTTGGGACCAGCGAAGTAAACTCAAAAAAAGAGGACGGGACATCGATATCAGATTTTTTGTATCTATCACCGTTTTGGCTGTACCCTATAAAACTATCGAAAATCAACCACCCTGTACAGCCTCCGAGTCTATCATCAGGTCCAGTCATGGCTCGGGAATTACAACGACCCCCAAGACTGGGTCTGGAAAAATTATGGATAAATATTGATGCCTGTTCAAAGTTCAAAACCTCCAGCACCCCCTGAGCTTCTAAAGT